TGGAAAAAGTGGGGGAGGGTAGGCGTTACCTTTCGGGCTGTTTGGTTTCGGTAAAAAGTGGCACGACGTATGAGTACCTCTGTGGAGTATAGTAACGAGAGAGATCAATATACGAGTATGGTGTTTGATGTTGTTGGTGCTTCATTTGATCCAAACAGTGTCATGGAAGAGGAACCAAATGCTGTTTGTTTCATTATAACATCATTTTGATTTTTCATCCAAACATTGACATTGAAGAGGACGCTCATAATGGGTATTAGTTGATTTTTCATTTATGTTTGTTTCATTATACCATCATTTTGTGTATGTTTTTGTATAAATAACATATATTTTTCTAAATGTAGGTTGGTAATGCCCAATATAGCCATTAGGACGATTGCAAAGTTCGAGAGAAAGGTTGATCCTAATGGCTTCAGGTTGGCAAACGTGGGCGAGCCTTACAAAGAGTTTTACTGGAGAGAGTTTCAGGTATATTTAAGTAATTTATTAAATCTTTTTGTAGCATGTCTTAAGGTGTGTGATAAAAAAACTTAAAATAGAATTTCGTTGTAATAATGATATATGCAGAAAAGTGTTTTTGGCACATTGTAATAGATGATAATGTCATGAAGGGAACTTTCTTCCGTAAAGCCTCAGATCGTTACGTTGATTTTGTTGGGAATATAAAAAATCCTAAAAGACTCAAAGATCAAGGAAGGTAAAAGGTGCATGCGAGCATTGTTGATGGTTGGAAGCGGGTAAATCATTAATATAATGTTATATACATGACATTATCTAAAAATAATTTATTTCTTATGTTTGTAATTGAAAACCAAATTCATTGTAATATTTACATAGATTTGGGCTGAGGAGAAATATTTGGCTCTTTGTCAAAAAACAAAGCAAATAGGCGTGGAGGAGATATAAATGCAGCTACACAACCCACACACACTGGGACATCGATCTTTTAACGAGTCTCTTAAGATTCTTGTAAGTGCTAATTACATAAATGTAGATAGTGATAACATTAACTCATTTAATAATAACTCTATTTTTTTAAAAATTAGAGCCAAAGCTTGGACGAGAGAGAAGATTCTACCTTTGCCTCGTACACCCACACCCACACCAAAAATCATGACAAAAAAATGTGGATCACCGAAAAAACAGCGACAGTGGCAGTAAGTCAAAAGCTTTTGCAACAATTTATATATTTGTGTGTGTGTGTAATAATTTATATGTACAAGTATGTATGATTTATTTTGTTATCCATAAATTATGTAGGAGAACTATAATAGTTTGAAAAAACAAACTATTCAGGAGGGGATTGATGTTGCGCTAGGAGAACTATTTTATGTGGCAGCTGATAGACATGATGGCGCGTAGAATTCCAAAGAATACTCTGAGATAGAGTAGACGAGCGAGCACGATCGGTATCTCTGATATGGAGAACAATGAAGTTCTTAATTTGCGCAAGGAATTGCTAGAATTCAAAGCAATGGTTGAAGCAAGGGACAAAACGATATTGGAGGAACTGAAAATGCTCCGCGGCCGTTATGGTGATGGTCGATTTGATAGTGAAGATAGTGGTGGTGCAGGTGGTACGACGGGCTTTGTTTGAACATTATACTTCCCTTATTTATTAATTTTAAACATTTCAATGTTCTTTAAGTACCTTATATTTGAGGCATAATACATTTTGTAGATTGTAAACTACTTTGATGACGATCAATATTTGGTTTGTTTGAATATTCTCATTGTTCATTTCTAGTGTTTTTTTGCTGTTTATGTCTTTTGTTTTGGTTGGTTTCTGATTTTTGGCCAATTTTGTAGCTGCATGGCTGCCTGTAGAAACTGATTTCTGCCTGCAGAATCTGGTCAGTTTGCGACGGAAATATTCCGTCGCAAACGTTTTATTGGAAGATGCAAATGCCGTCGCAAATCTATTGCGATGATTTCCATCCGTCGTAAAAGACCGTCGCACATATGTTTACAAGAACATTTGGAAACTCTTGTAAAGTCCGTCGCAAATTTTACAACGGCTGACCACCGTCGTAAATGTCTCGCAGAGTTGCAATGTCATGGTCGCACGGCGGTTTGCGGCCAAAAAACTACGACAGAATGAAAGTGGTCACAAATGCCTTCGCAACACTTAAATGCGAGAGAAAAGAAGCCATTTACGACGGAAATATTCCGTCACAAAAAGCTAAAATTTTTGTAGTGTATAATTAGTTTTGCAACTTTTGACCTCCGCGTCATTATACTCGCCAGCAAACACTGGAGGAGAAGCGTCACTGACCGAATCACTCGGGCACTGTGCTCTCTCTCTCTCTTTCTTTCTCTCTCTCTCTCTCTCTTCACTCTTGGTCCGAAGACACGGCTAAATGAAGGCTAACCGCTCTTTCCATCTCTCTCTTATCTTAATATCTACTCCGTAGAATGTAAGATGTGATTTTCTAAGGTGTTCCCGCCTAATTTATTGGCCGGGTCACTGAAATTTGGGCTTACTGTGTTGGATCCAGATCCAATTTCTTCCAAGTATTATTGATCGAATTGTCAAACAAAACTATTTTGATTAAAATAAATTATTGTTGGACCTTGGGCTGAAATGGAATATGTTTTGATATCCAATATCACAATCAGGATACATCTCATAGAAATAAATCCAATATGTTGACTATATGTGTGATCTTGATTAAGGGATCAGAGTACATACCTACCTAAATTAAGAAGAAATAAAAAGTTCACCATAACATAGTGTAGTTAAGTATTCTGAACCATAACACATTGTCCAAAACATGGGAACATAACACACTGTCAAAAAGTGTAGACATAACATGATTATTCCACACTGCAAAAAAATCAGTATAAGCTTCCAATTTCGTTCATTAAATGTATTTAAACAGTGAGGAGTAGCACGATGGTTCTAAGTGTTACGTACAAGAAAATGAGAATACGCTTCTAAAATTTTGGATCTCGATAAATACAGCAAATGACATAATCAAAATACTGCATTATAAAAAGGTATGATTAGAAGAGATCCACGCTATAAATAGCTAAATGTGTGATAATCAATAAAAAGTGCTATATGTGAACTATTGAATTTCTTAGAGTGCTATATAAGGTGATTTTTTCATCCAAATTTGAACTTAAGATTTTGCGACATACTACATCCGTCACAATGTCTTTGTTTAGTTTAAATTAGACAAACTTTAAGATTCAATTACTCTTCATTTACATTGCATATCGATACAATTAACTAAGATTATGAAAGTTCTCAAGCAGATTAATCTAATTAAACTTTTTTATACAAATATATACTTTACAATTTTCATTTAATTAAAGTTCAAATTTGACTAAAAGCAAACGGCGAACGACCGCATCTAGGTTTTCCTATTACTACGGGGACCGGCCTCCGCATTTGAGAGTCCGAGTCGGACCATCTCTATTCTCTACAACTCTCTGCTGAGTCCGAGTTGGAGTTGGATCCGTGTTCTTTTTTCTGGCAAGACTGAGAATTGTGCGCATCCATCTGTTCTAGATCCGTGGATCTACTGGTAAGGTTTCTTTCTTTAAAAATTGGAATCCTTTGGTTGTGCGGTTGTTTATTAAACTACTTGCGTTTAACTGTTGGTTGGGTTATGTCGAATCTGGTCTATATTTTTTCTCTCTTTCTGAAGTTTTTTGGCAGGTTGGATTTAAAATGCACATGTAACTCTAGTCTGATTTGTTGATCCGGTGGATTGGGTTTTTTCTTCTCTTTTGGCTTTGTTCAGAAGTTCAGACTCTTTAGCTATAGTTTCTTCATCACGTAATCAAGTCGTTCTCTATATGATGTTTCCGAAGTTTGGACTTTTGGACGGAAATCGGCAAATTTGTGGATTTTCTTTTTGTTATTGTTAAATAATACAAATCTAAGAGCACCCAACCCATGTTTGGGATGAAGGGAGTATTTTGCATTTTCAATCCCCGGTCTTAATCAGTTTGCTCTAATCAATTTCAGTGTGGTTCGGTCTAAAATTTACTACTAATAGGTCTCGTCTTCTGTCCTCCCTTTGTTTTATTTACGTCTTTGGTCTGGTCCCCTCCTTTTTCAGGCTATTCACAAACAAATGAAATCCCCTCCTTTTTTCAGGCTTGCACAAACACTATCAAAGATGTCGGTACTAGAACAGTGGGCGGAAGAAGACTGTGCAATCTTGTTCTCCGACAAGGTTCACATGTGCAAAAAAGACTTCCACTATGATATGTTGCGGTATGTCTTCACGGAGACAGAAGGTATGTGTGCGTGCCTGTGCTTATCTTAGTCTCATGTTTTCAAATCATGTCTAAAATTGAAAGTTCTATATTACCCCTTTTAAGAGGATGATTCTCGTTGATAGTCGTTTGTTTTCACCGGCAGAACTTTTTTTATGTTCGGACATTTGATTCTTTGAATTAATGTTGATTTTTTTTTGTTTGCTTTGAGCTTACATATTGCTTAATTTTTTTTCGCACTACATATGGAGTACATCTTTTCCCTTTCTTATGCTTCATGTTGCATAGTAATTGCACCACAACACTAAACTGATTATAGTTCTTTTGGATTTCTGTTGTTAGCTTATTTTTTGGTGATTTCTAGGAACAATAAATGCAAGGGAACAAAGTCCCCTTCAAGTGTATAATAAACGGTTTGACATTTATCAAAACTTGTCAAAAAACGTACATTACTTTAGTGCAACATTATCGTAAAGTGTGTTCCAACAATTTTGATTGTTTTTTGTTTTAAGATCGAGTATAAATGCTATTTTTGCCATGTTTTCTAAATAATTCTTTCACGAGAATTAGTCTCCTTCCCCGAAATTTAAGTTGCAAATGCCGGAAAAATCCAAAGACATACATACCTCATCTATGTGTATGCATTTGGTTGTCTAATTGTTTATTTCATATTACCCTTGATGGTGCAGAGCATTGTATAGTTGACTTGTTCAGAACATGGAGCAAAACCCTCACAGCTGCCAGGGTTATCAATGCCATTCCCATTGAGGAGCACAAGGACATATTTGTTCTGTCTGCACGGCCATTTGCTCAAAAAGCTGTCAAAGAGTTTGCTAAACAAATTGGTGCTACTGCCATTGAAGGAGACAACAGCATTGAAACTTTTGCTGCTAAGCTGCACTCATCGTCTATTAAGCCTCGCCTCCTCATTGTTGCTGATTCCAAAACTGATCGCAAGGTTTTCCTTTTTTGGTTATTGTGATCCTCCTTTCTTTGCTTCACTTTATCTCATTTATGGAGTCTGAATTCTTCTTGCAGGCTGTCGCAGAAGCTTTCTACTCCAACATCAGGATACCTGTCATTGCATTTGCTGATGTGGATGCTTCAATGCGCTATGTTGACATTGGTATCCCTGGAAATCTCACAAATAAGCGCTGCATTGCTCGTCTTTTCTGGCTGTTAGGAAAGACAGTTCGTCGGACGAGGAATCAAAGCTGGAGGGTTCCGGTATTATCTATTCTTGTTGTTGTTGTCAAGGTTTTAAAAGCTGAAAACTGAACTCGAGGTGGTAGAGCAAGTTGCCTCAAGGTGTATGCCTCGAGGCGGAACGAGGCATAAGCCTCAGTTCAACTTGAAAAAAATAACAATAAAAAAACTTTTCAGTGCAACAAAATGCATAATCCATAATTATGTCAAATAAGTCATAAAGTCATGTATAAGTTTTCATTGAAACTAAAAAAGGGGTCAAAATAAAAAGGCAATAAGATAATCATAATTCATGGTATCATTTTGAGACTAAATTTGAGTTTCCCAAGTTTTGTACTTCAAAACTTAGACTATCATTGCTCATTTCAGCAACATCATCCATATTTTCAAGGGATTCGTCAATTTCATCTCCATCATCAGCATCTGCATCATTATTTCTATCTGTGCCATTTGTAACATGTGCCCCTACAAGCCTAACTTGAATTATATACAACTAAACAATTGAATTTATTGCAAGCTCATTCTTAAAAAAAAGTTAATTGACCTTTGAATTCATTATTCATTTCATCAACANAATTTGAGTTTCCCAAGTTTTGTACTTCAAAACTTAGACTATCATTGCTCATTTCAGCAACATCATCCATATTTTCAAGGGATTCGTCAATTTCATCTCCATCATCAGCATCTGCATCATTATTTCTATCTGTGCCATTTGTAACATGTGCCCCTACAAGCCTAACTTGAATTATATACAACTAAACAATTGAATTTATTGCAAGCTCATTCTTAAAAAAAAGTTAATTGACCTTTGAATTCATTATTCATTTCATCAACATCCAGTGCAAGTTCATCATTTCCCATGGTGTTGTCGTCAATAACCCACAATTTCCCAGCAATACAAGTGAGTCCAATACAAGCTTGTCAATTTCTTTGTTTGCAATTTCCCAGCACCTTTCCCCAATTTCATCAACAGTACTATCCAGCAATTGGAACAAATAGTTTGCATATTTAAGTCATCCGATGAATCAACGGATCTTAAGACAACTGTCCCAAATTGATTATTGACAACAATTTTTAAAAGGCTTCAATTTCTGATGTCACTCCAACCATTAGACATAATAGTCACTCCAGTATGTGCCCATGCCTTTTACACTCCTTCCACAACATCGTTGGTTGCATCATACTCTGCTTTCAATATCTATGTATGGAGGTCATGCATAGATAATGGCTTAAAACCTGCTTCGTAATTGCTGACAGAACGCATCATGCTATAGTAAGATGGACTATTTGCAACATTGAATGATATGACATTCTCAAAGATAAATCTTCTCACGACATACTGAATTGCGTTGTCCTCGCACAGTGGCCTTAGTCATTTTTGAAGGCTGGACATCACCTTCTTTGTTTGAATCATCTTCAAACTAGAACAGCCAATAAAATGATCCATTGGTCCACGAGAATTCGGTCCAGTGCCCAAAACAACATCATTTGGAGCGTAGTATGCTCCTGAATACACCATCTCATCAAAATACCTATGTTTAATGTGTTTTTGTTCTGCATAACTTTTCAGGAGTGTTAACATCTCTTTCTTCACTACATGAGAAACATTCGGGCATGGCGTAGAATTTTTACGAGTTTTGACAGGATGGTTTTTTAACCTACTTTTAAGTTGTTTCTATATTGCCACTAATTTTAGTGGCAGTATGGAAACAAAATAAATCACAATGGCAATTTAGGACAAAATATATTGGTTCAGCATTTTTTAACTGCACTCGAGGATTACATGCCAAGGTTTTTTTTAAAGGCCCAATAGGTTTGTTTAAAGGGGCTAAAATTTGCATCAGCAGTGAGGCTGTAGCATCACTTCCGCCGCAACGGCTTCGGAAAAACAAGGCATGCGCCTTGCAGATGCCAACTGATTTGGACACCCCTGGGGCAAAAACAGACCACCTCGAGGCGGATTGCCATTTTGTGCATTTTAAAACCATGCCTTGTTTGAGACATGTCTTTTGCAAGTTCTGTTTATAATTGTGTGACTTTTCCTTACTCTAACAGATTAAGCGATTTGTCAGTGATCTGGATGAGGAGGGTGAGGTCTCTGTGGAATTTGCGGAGCAAGAAGAAAGGGAAAGATCTGTAATTACATCCATTAGCGGGGATCTGTCTCAGCTCTGTCATCTTGTTATTGACGCGAATGGATGGACTTGGGGTATATAGACTTGTGTCCTTATCCTATATAATTATGTTTAATGTGTTTGATTTGGCTTTCATATTAACGCTTAAGGTGCTAACACATAGAGAGCATCATCCTAAAATTTCAAAAATAATAATAATAATAATAATAATAATAAAAAATCCAAAGTTGTTTGGTACATTATCCAACAAAATAACACTTAATGCAATAGATATAGGCTTAAAACATTATTTGTTGTTTATTACGGAGTATGTTTCATGTTTGAATTTAGGTTATTGTGCTTGAAGATAAATTTTAATTTCTTTTATTTGTTTTGCTAGTTGGACCAAAGGGACCACCTGGTGAGTATGGACCAAGAGTGATTCTGGATACAGGTATGTGCCCTGCTGGCATAAAATCATGCTGCTTTTCATTGACAAATTTTTTATTTATTTTTTTATTTTCGTACTCCCTCCGTCCCAAAAAGTCCTTCACGTTTCAAAAAAATGGTGTCCCACAATCTCCTTCCCATTTCTATTAAAAACAATTTTTACTTCTTACTTTTTCATACCCTACACATCACATCATATACCTTTTCCTAATAATCTACACATCACATCCTACTCTTACCGATCACATTAAGGGTATTTTTGGAAAGTCAACACAAAATTATTCCTATCTTATTTTGCCATTTTAGTCAAATGTCCCTCTCTTTCTGGGACGTATGTAATGTTGTGGTAAAGAAGCACTTAAAGCAGCTTTGTTTTTTGGGCTGCATTTCAGATGATAAGTTTTTGTCATGCAATAATTTTGGAATTTATTCATGCGGTTGCAGATGATATGTTTACTTGGGATTTGGGCCGCGTGCCTGATTTTCATCGGTTGACCCGTGAGGAATCAAATCGGACCTTTATTTGGGGAGATGCCCAATGAATGTATAATGTAATAGTGTATTGTTTTGATTGCTACTCAGTGTAATTTAAGTTATGAAACACCTATGTATACAAAGTTTGTATCATTGTATGCATGTCCGTTTGGTTATCATGATCATGTATACTCCGTATAAGTTATGATAAAACGATTATTTATCTATGTCAGTGATGAGTTTTGATTGGAATGAACCGATCCATAGTAACCCTATGAAACGGTTAATCCTGTGATGAAGAGTAAAATATTACTAGAGTACTACGGAGTAGTTTTTTACCCCGTGATTCAAACAGGTTGGGGTTACGTGCCCGTGTTTGTAGTCTTTGTTTTTGTGTT